AAAATTTCCCTAGATTGGAGAGGCTTTAAAGGGTCTAAAGACTCTGAGGATTCTAAGGAGTTAAAAGCTAAAATTCTGTTTCGAATCCTTGAAAATTTCTAAAGGTTCTAGAGAAATTCCAAAAGGCCAAAGATTATAAAACTTGTAAAAATCGCGTGAACTCTTAAAATAGCAACGATTTCAAAAATTCCAAAGACTTTAAAGAAAACAAACATCTTAAAGACCTAAAAATCGTAAAGATCGGAAAAATGCTTTCTTTAATTTTTATAAATCCTAAAAGCACTGAAGGCCTTGAACACCCTAATTATTATTTCATAAATCTTGAAGACTGTATAGATTCCAGAGATTCCAAAAATTCCAAAGATTTAGACTCTTGAGATCTATAAATTTTAGAAAATTTGAAAAAATTTAGAAAGGATGAGAAAAATGTGGTAGACCTAGAAATCTTGAAAATATTGGAAAAGGTTGAATTTCAAAATTCTGGTATAACTGGAGCCTGTTAAATTTGGAAATTTTGGAAAATGTGAAAATTCTTGTAATTTTGTGTACTTCGAAAAGTTGGACTAAATTAGAAAATCTGAACATTCTGGAAATTTTGAAAATTTAGCAAATTACAAAATTTCCCAACAATGAAAAGAAAAAAAATGGACTCAAAATTTCAAAAGTTTACACAATCTTAAGACTGTAGATATTCTAAAAATTCCAAAGTTTCCAAATGTTTGATATATTTACAAGGTTTCAAACTTTTCAAAAATTCTAAAAATCTTAAAATTTTCATACACTAGAATAAAATTGAAAACGGAAATATCGGAGAGCTTAAAAATCCAAGGATGGGAAAATTGAAAAATCCAAAAATCTAAAATTTGAATCAACGGAAAATCGAAGAATCGAAAAACTCAATCAAGAAATTAAAAAATTTCAAAACAGATATAAAAAATTGAGAAACATCGAGAAATCGAAATAGCAATTTTTCAATTTATCGGTTCTTCAATTCTTCAGTTCATCGATATTTCTATTTGTTTATATGTTTGCTTTTTTCCTTATTTTACATAGTTTTCTTTGAACAACCCGATACTCAAAACCATGTTTTTAATTTCTTGTAAAGAATTAAGTACTTTCCAGTTAAGCTCCGCCCTCTTGGTTCACGACGAATACAAAAAAATCATCACAATTGAGACAGGGCGGGTGGGCGGGCTTACATTTTGTCTTTTCGTTTTAGTACGTGCAGACTTCTTTTGATAACATGAAACTTAAAATCTAACCATGTTTTAAGCTTCTTGTTGCGAAAAGATGGCTAGGTATATTAAAAAAAGGCAAAATATAAGCCCCGCCCACCCGCCCTATCTCAATTCTGATGATTTTTTTATTCGTCGTAAGCTGAGGGGCGGAGCTTAATTGCAAAATCCTTATTTCTTTAGAAGAACTAAAAAAGATGTTTTTGAGTATCGTGTTATTCACAGAATACTATGTATGTCAAGAAAAAAGCAAGCCAAAAATTAAGCACCTCCCATATCCATCCCAAGCTCAATTGTGACGAATTTTTCATTCGTTGTCAGACCGCGGGGCGGAGTTTAATTGCAAAAAATCGATATTTCCCTTTAGAAATTTGAACATGTTTTAAGTTTTTTGTTGTGAAAAGATGACTATGCATTTTAACAAAACAAGGAAAAATATAAGCCCCGCCCACCCACCCAATCTCAATCGTGACGAATTTTTTATTCGTCGTGAGCCAAGGAGGCGGAGTTTATCTGCAAGATCTTTATTTCTCTACGAGAAATTACAAACATTACAATTTTCCAAATGTTTGAAATACTTAAAAGGTTTCAAACTTTTCAAAATCTTAAAGTTTTCATACACTAGAATAATAGTAAAGGCACCAAAGACGCTAAATAAACTAAAGTTTTAGGTTCTAAATCGAAGAAACATCCAACAAAATCTTAAAAATTTTAAAGATCTTGGAAGTATTAATGTTCTTAGAAATTATAAAAATTTTAAACTTTATAAAATTTCTAGTAATTTTGAAGTATCCAAAATTCCCAAAGATTGTTAAGACTCTAAGGACTCTAAAGATTCTAAATACTCGAAGGACTCAAACAATAAAAAAGTTATAAAAATTCTGTTCCAAATATTTCAAAAAAAACGCATGAACTCTTAACATGACAAAAATTTTAAAGATTCCAAAGACTCTAAACAAAACAAAAATTCTAAAAATCTGAAGAATGCTTCTTTTAATTTTTATCAATCCTACGAATATTCGGGGTCTTGAACCCCCTAATTATTATCTTATACATCTCCGAGATTCTAAAGATTCCAGAGATTCCAAAAATTTCAAATATTTAAAGACTCTTGGGGTCTATTAATTTTAGAAAATCTGGAAATATCTAGAAAGTGTGAAATATGTGCAAGACCTGGAAATCTTGAAAACTGAGGAAAATGTTGAATTCTGGCATATCTGGAGAGTGATATTTTTATAACATTTACAAAATCTGGAACTTCTGGAAATTTCAAAAATTTACTCGATTCTAGAAATTCTAAACATTTTACTGAATTTGTGAAAATATTTCAAATAGTGTGAAACTTCAAAGTCTTCTCTAAATTTCAAAGAGGTGAAACCTTTTAGTTTTAGACTCTTGAGATCTATAAATTTTAGAAAATTTGAAAAAATTTAGAAAGGATGAGAAAAATGTGGTAGAGCTAGAAATCTTGAAAATATTGAAAAAGGTTGAATTTCAAAATTCTGGTATAACTGGAGTTTGATAATTTTAGAAATTTTGGAAAATATGAAAATTCTTGTCATTTTGAGTACTTCGGAAAATCTGAAAAATTGGTCTAATTTGGAAAATCTGAACATTCTGAAATTTTGAAAATTTTGCAAATTACGAAAATTCGCAAAAATTAAAAGAAAATACAAAAATATTGAATCTCAAAATTTCAAAAGTTTACACTATCTTAAGATTGTAGATATTCTAAAAATTCCAAAGTTTCCAAATGTTTGATATATTTACAAGGTTTCAAACTTTTCAAAAATTCTAAAAATCTTAAAGTTTTCATACACTAGAATAAAATTTAAAAAACGGAAATATCGGAGAGTTTAAAAACCCAAGGATGGGAAAAAAAAAATAGAATAAAATTGAAAAAACGGAAATATCGGAGAGCTTAAAAATCCAAGGATGGGAAAACTGAAAAATCCAAAAATCTAAAATTTGAATCAACGGAAAAATGAAGAATCGAAAAACTCAATCAAGAAATTAAAAAATTTCAAAACAGATATAAAAAATTGAGAAACATCGAGAAATCGAAATAGCAATTTTTCAATTTATCGGTTCTTCAATTCTTCAGTTGATCGATATTTCTATTTGTTTATATGTTTGCTTTTTTTCCTTATTTTACATAGTTTTCTTTGAACAACCCGATACTCAAAAACATGCTTTTAATTTCTTGTAAAGAATTAAGTACTTTCCAGTTAAGTTCCGCCCTCTTGGTTCACCACGAATACAAAAAAATCATCACAATTGAGATAGGGCGGGTGGGCGGGCTTACATTTTGTCTTTTCGTTTTAGTATGTGTAGACTTCTTTTGACAACATGAAACTTAAAATTTAACCATGTTTTAAGTTTCTTGTTGCGAAAAGATGGCTAGGTGTATTAAAAAAAGGCAAAATATAAGCCCCGCCCTATCTCAATTCTGATGATTTTTTTATTCGTCGTAAGCCGAGAGGCGGAGCTTAATTGCAAAATCCTTATTTCTTTACAAGAACTAAAAAAGATATTTTTGAGTATCGTGTTAGTCACAGAATACTATGTATGTCAAGAAAAAAGCAAGCCAAAAATTAAGCCCCTCCCATATCCATCCCAAGCTCAATTGTGACGAATTTTTCATTCGTTGTCAGACCGCGGGGCGGAGTTTAATTGCAAAAAATCGATATTTCCCTTTAGAAATTTGAACATGTTTTAAGTTTTTTGTTGTGAAAAGATGACTATGCATTTTAACAAAACAAGGAAAAATATAAGCCCCGCCCACCCACCCAATCTCAATCGTGACGAATTTTTTATTCGTCGTAAGCCAAGGAGGCGGAGTTTATCTGCAAGATCTTTATTTCTCTACGAGAAATTACAAACATTGCAATTTTCCAAATGTTTGAAATACTTAAAAGGTTTCAAACTTTTCAAAATCTTAAAGTTTTCATTCACTAGAATAATAGTAAAGGCACCAAAGACGCTAAATAAACTAAAGTTTTAGGTTCTAAATCGAAGAAACATCCAACAAAATCTTAAAAAATTGTAATGATCTTGGAAGCATTAATGTTCCTAGAAATTATACAAATTTTAAACTTTATAAAATTTCTAGTAGTTCTGAAGTATCAAAAATTCCCAAAGATTGTTAAGAGTCTAAGAACTCTGAAAACTCGAAAGATTCTAAATACTCTGTTCCAAATATTTCAAAGATTCTATAATTTGTAAAAAACGCATGAACGTTACGGTTGCTCGCATTGTGGTTGTATATCTGTTTTTTAATTAATTTAGTGTAATACAAACATTTACGAATGCACGATCAGCAAGACTACTTAGTTATTATCTTTCTGTGAAAGTAAATTACTTTGGCAAAATCAACCTCTAAATAAAACATAATTTTTTAAATTATACCTGAACGTGCTCGCTGTGCTCGCATTTTAAACGTGTTTTTTTTCACTTTTGGAACTCACCATTTTTAAATAATACAAATTATGAACTCGGGGATGTCTTCTCGAAATTCTTCCATAAATAACATATCTTAAACCTCGAAAAAATGATCCCTAAGTCTAGGAAACACTGTCGGGTGTCAATTATCTGTCAACCCGACTGCATAATTTGTAATTTACACCAGTTATTACTTTCTGTCATTTTATTTATAAGTTCGTACGGCGTCATTAGACATTTCTCAACCCCCTCTTAATCAATTCGCTCCCTTTCTATTAGTACCTCGCAACCAACACGAAAAATCACGTCTGTTTGGAATTTCAGGTCGGTGCGAGCCAGCCGCCGGTATGTTGATAGCCTGCGCAGGCTGCGAGAAGCCAATCCTGGATAAATTCCTGCTGAACGTCCTGGAGAGGACGTGGCATGCGGACTGCGTCCGCTGCTTCGACTGTCACGCCCCCTTAACAGACAAGTGCTTCTCGAGGGAAGGAAAGCTGTTCTGCAGGAGCGACTTCTTCAGGTAACCCACCAAAACCACTGAAAATCCGCGCCACACGTGTTCCGACACGTGGAGGGTGCTCACTTGCACAAAACCAGCACCGAGTTTCTCACCCGTCACACTAAACCATGACGCACATTCCCGACTCCATTCCCATTGTTCATTCGGTATACTTAAAGGAAACTACGATAACGTGAAAGTTTTATCGGAGCTAGTTCAATACAATCTCTATCAGTGCAACATCTGTGGAGATCTGAATGCAATTGGAATGTTAATGAGTGTGCAGGGAGCTTTTACGGAATTCTCTTCCTTTTTATGTCTTCGAGACAGTCGTTATACGGCTGAACATTACATCAAGCGGAACTGGAAAGCAAGCACTATATGCGACGAGATTGGTCGACAATGTGGTTTTTCGCAAGTGCGGGTTTAATTTTGATGTTAAGTATCGCGCAAACTGCACTTCGTTATCGATTCGGGGCGCCCACGAGCCACAGCGGAACGAAAGGGCCGATTACGGGCTAAAATCCGGCGTAAATTGTGTGATGGAAAACGCATCGATCAAAAAATTAAACGAAGTAAAATGAAGCTGCGACTGCTAACTTTCCTAAAATTAGGAAGACAGTGACGTGCCTACAAAAGTTATCCCACGTCCCATTATACCGGAACGAAATAATAAAATTTTTAAAAGGCACCATAAAACAATGATGAAATAGTAGTCGAAGAAGAAATTGTTTGTAGCTCACTTATAAGAAAGCGATGGCCCCGCCCACCCACCCCATCGTCATTCTAGTGACCACTCTTAATGCTATTACTTAATTACAACAATTATTTTATTAGAATTCTACTCAAATCTGTTATATCGTTGGTGAAAAAATAAATCCGTTGTTAAACAAAACGTCTAGAAAATGTTAAGCCGGTGTTAAATAAGCATAGCCGACGTGAGAATCATTTACAAAGCAATATTACCGATGCCCCTCCCACTCGCATAAGCACCACCCTAATAAATCATTCATTGGACAGAAGATCATGACGACACAGTCGTTAATTTGCTTAGAGGGTCTGTGATTTGCCAAAATCAGTCTTGTCTTAGCAATTACTACCCCCGCTCTCCCCGCCTCTCATTCCGACAGATAAAATAAATCACTAAAACACAAGGCGGGTGGGTGGGCGGGGCTAAGTATATTCTTCTGTCGAATGGGAGTGGAAACTAATAGAATCTGGGATGCGAAAAACCTAAACAAAGTAATTTCTTGTATAAAAAGTGTATTTGTTATTTCAGAAGAAAAAAAAGAGAACGGACGGGTGGGTGGGCGGGAAGAAGTTTAACTTTTCCTTAGTGAGTCTTTTTTTGACGATTTTCGAAATTTAACTAAACACATCTTCTTGTAGATTTCGGGCCACAGAAGTCACTTGAACCTCATTTCTTCGATAACTAAAACCGTTTTTCCAGAATCGACCTATGAATTATCGTAATTTTTAAAAATTTCAATGAATTCGAATTTCACACAGTATATTCCGAAAATGTTGTTCCGCTACCATAAACACGCTATATTTTTGGAATTAGCACGTCAAAATATATAATCTTCGAAAAATGTTTAGAATTTCTAGAATCGAGTAACTTTTTGCAATTTACTAGATTTTTAGAATTTTTGATAGGTTTGAAACCTATTAAATATTTCAAACATTTGGAAACTTTGAAATTTGAAAAAATTGGGACCCCTGAGAAGGTTTCACATTATAAAAAAACAGTTGGGGGCCTGGAGAAGGTTTCACCTCTTAAAAAAAATTGAGTTGGGATTCCTGACAAGGTTTCACATTTAAAAAAAAAACTGTTGGTGCTCCCGAGAAGGTTTCACCTCTTAAATAAAATTCAGTTGGGACCCCTGAGGTTTCACGTTATAAGAAAAAAAAACAGTTGGGGACCCCTGAGAAGGTTTCACATTATAAAAAAACAGTTGGGGGCCTGGAGAAGGTTTCACATTAAAAAAAAAACGGTTGGTGCCCCAGGAAAGGTTTCACCTCTAAAAAAAAATCAGTTGGGACCCCTGAGAAGGTTCACATTATAAAAAAAAAAAACGGTTGGTGCCCTCGAGAAGGTTTCACCTCTTAAAAAAATACAATTGGGACTCCTGACAAGGTTTCATATTATAGAAAAAAAAACAGTTGGTGCTCCCGAGAAGGTTTCACCTCTTAAAAAAAATACAATTGGGACCCCTGAGAAGGTTTCACATTATAAAAACAAGCAGATGGGGGCCCCGAGAAGGTTTCACCTCTTAAAAAAAATTCATTTGGGACCCCTGAGAAGGTTTCACATTATAGAACAAAAAACAGTTGGTGCTCCCGAGAAGGTTTCACTACTTAAAAAATACATTTGGGACCCCTGAGAAGGTTTCACATTATAGAACAAAAAACAGTTGGTGCTCCCGAGAAGGTTTCACCTTTTAAAAAAAATACAATTGGGACCACTGAGAAGGTTTCACATTATAAAAACAAGCAGATGGGGGCCCCGAGAAGGTTTCACCTCTTAAAAAAAATTCATTTGGGACCCCTGAGAAGGTTTCACATTATAAAAAAAAAAAAACAGATGGTGCCCCCGAGAAGGTTTCACTTCTTAAATTTCACATTATAAAAAAAAATGAAGTTGTGAACCCTGAGAAGGTTTCACCTCTTAAAAAAATACAACTGGGACCCATGAGAAGGTTTCACATTATATAAAAATAACAGTTGGTGCTCCCGAAAAAGTTTCACCTCTTAAAAAAATACAGTTGGCGCCCCCGAGAAGGTTTCACCTCTTAAAAAAATACAATTGAGACCCCTGAGAAGGTTTCACCTCTTAAAAAAAATTCAGTTGGGAATCCTGAGAAGGTTTCACCTTATAAAAAAAAAGTTGCGGCCCCTAGATTCTTAAAAAAAAACAATTGAGGGACTCCTAGAAGGTTTCACTTTCTTGAATAAAAACGAAGCCCCCGAGGTTTTATCTCTTAAAAAAATTGGTTGAAAGTGATTTCGACAGAACTTCCCTTCAGTTTTTCCATATATTTTTTTTTTGATAATTTAATCTTAATAGACTCCTTAGAGTTGTGGCACTTTTAGAATCTTCGAAAGCTTTGAAATTTAGAGAAGACTTTGAACTTTCGCACTATTTGGAATATTTTCACAAATTCAGTAAAATGTTTACAATTTCTAGAATCAAGTAAATTTTTGAAATTTCCAGAAGTTCCAGATTTTCTAAATGTTATAAAAATATCACTCTTCAGATATGCCAGAATTCAACATTTTCCTCAGTTTTCAATATTTTCAGGTCTTCCAAATTTTTCACACTTTCTAGATATTTCCAGATTTTCTAAAATTAATAGACCCCAAGATTAAAGACTCTCTTTGAAATTTTTGGAATCTCTGGAATGTTTAGAATCTCTGAGATGTAATAATTAGGGTGTTCTAAATTATAACATAATTTTTATTATTTAAAAATGGTGAGTTCCAAAAATGAAAAAAAAACAAGTTTAAAATGCGAGCACAGCGAGCACGTTTAGATGTAATTTAAAAAATATGTTTATTGGCGTCCCCGAGAAGCTACATTATTAAAACAATTTTTGTTATTTAAAAAAATGTGAGTTTTAAGATTGTTTGTGATCATCACTGGAACTTCCTGAACGTGCTCGCTGCGCTCATATTCTAAAGATTTTTCTAAGTAATTTGGAAAGTTTGGAATTTTTACAATATCTACAATCTTAAGATAGTGTAAACTTTTGAAATTTTGAGATTCAATATTTTTGTATTTTCTTTTAATTTTTGGGAATTTTCGTAATTTGCAAAATTTTCAAAATTTGAGAATGTTCAGATGTTCCAAATTATACCAATTTTTCAGATTTTCCGAAGTACACAAAATGACAAGAATTTCCATATTTTCCAAAATTTCTAAAATTATCAAACTCCAGTTAAACCAGAATTTTGAAATTCAACATTTTCCAATACTTTCAAGATTTCTAGGTCTACCACATTTTTCTCATCCTTTCTAAATTTTTTCAAATTTTCTAAAATTTATAGATCTCAAGAGTCTAAAACTAAAAGGTTCCACCTCTTTGAAATTTAAAAAAGTTTGAATTTCACACTATTTGAAATATTTTCACAAATTCAGTAAAATGTTTAGAATTTCTAGAATCGAGTAAATTTTTGAAATTTCCAGAAGTTCCAGATTTTCTAAATGTTATAAAAATATCACTCTTCAGATATGCCAGAATTCAACATTTTCCTCAGTTTTCAAGATTTCCAGGACTTCCACATTTTTCACACTTTCTAGATATTTCCAGATTTTCTAAAATTATAAGACCCCAAGAGTCTTTAAATCCTTGAAATTTTTGGAATCTCTGGAATCTTTAGAATCTCTGAGATGCATTAGATAATAATAAGGGTGTTTAAGACCCCTAATACTTGTAGGATTGATAAAAATTAAAGGAAGCGTTGTTCAGATTTTTACGATTTTTAGATTTTTAGGATTTTTGTTTTCTTTAGAGTCTTTGGAATCTTTAAAATTTTTGTCATGTTAAGGGTTCATGCGTTTTTTACAAATTAAAGAATCTTTGAAATATTTGGAACAGAAATTTAAAAACCTTTTTAACGTTTAAGTCCTTAGAGTATTTAGAATCTTTAGAGTTTTCAGAGTCCTTAGAGTCTTAACAATCTTTGGGAATTTTGGATACTTCAGAATTACTAGAAATTTTATAAAGTTCAAAATTTTTATAATTTCTAGAAACATTAATATTTCCAAGATCTTTACAATTTTTAAGATTTTGTTGGATGTTTCTTCGATTTAGAACCTAAAACTTTAGTTTATTTAGCGTCTTTGGTGCCTTTACTATTATTCTAGTGTATGAAAACTTTAAGATTTTGAAAAGTTTGAAACCTTTTAACTTTTAAGTATTTCAAACATTTGGAAAATTGTAATGTTTGTAATTCCTCGTAGAGAAATAAAGATCTTGCAGATAAACTCCGCTTCCTTGGCTTACGACGAATAAAAAATT